TTTCAATTTTATTGTAACGATATTTCACGTACACGCTACAATATTGTACAATATAAATATTTTTTCGAGATGCGCATATCATAAGGATGCACATTTTAACGGTTTTCACGGCTACAAGTTCTGAACGGCGATTGCGACGTATACGCTTATAGCACACATCATTGATCGATATCGCCTGATGAATTCTATTAAAATGTATATAAATGAATAATAAGCACATACTCGCGTATACGTACAATACAGTTCAATATGTTAATAACGTTGTGGCTATGGCGGCGGTCAACAAGTATATATATATATATATATTGTATGCATACGCATCATGTGCGTGTGTTAACGCTGCAGTGGCATATCATACGCGTGGCGCGGTGGGAAATACACTACTCATAGAAAGTTCAAAAATTCAACAAAAAAACTTCAAGAAAACTTTGCGGTCATGCACTGTTATCAACACTATCTTGTGCGCGCAGTCATTTTCCTAATAGGTTCTATACCGCTAAACAATTTGTAGACATTTAGCCACGAAAAATAAAAAACGTGTAGGAATGGACGGCGATAGAAATGACAAGGGTCGAATTTTCGTTCTCTCGAGGCAATAAACAATGTAAACTCGAAAAAAAAAGAAAAGTTTAAGTTCAATAAAAAAAAATAAAAATAAAAAAAAAATAAAAATGCCGAGTAAATAATTTACACTCGCATTAGTTTGTATCAGCTGAGCATAATCAAAAACGATTTTTCAGCGGATATAAAGCAGACAATCTCCGCTACTGATTCCTGATGAGTCGAACGCGAGAGTAAATTGCATACATTACACGTGTTCATGATGTTTTCTGTTTATTCATTTATATTCGAGTATACAATTATTTATCAGTTATGATATAATATACTTTTGTACTAAATCTCGAGACGATGAATGAACGAATAAGCCAAGGCGCCAGGCCGGTGATGTCATTAAGCGTTCGGGTCCGGACGCGTGTGCTACCGCTCCAACCCATTGATCTCTCACTCGTCGTTCATACACTGCTGCGGCGATGTGCACACGTATATGGTATAAATAATATTAATCAAATTTTAGGGATGGTTTTTACGGACTACAGTAGCAACTGCAGTTACAACTAGACAACTAATTACGACGAAAAATGTGATTGTTTTCTCTCTTATCTAACTGCGATACTACCTCTTATGTACGCAGAAACTACTAATCGTCAGTGCTGGTATGAAAATATAAATATACAACATTTTTCGACCATTTCACATAATGAAGGTGTAGAAACCAGAGGGTTAAATAGGGATAATTGTAAGAGTAAAAGTAAACTACTCCTATTTTATACTTGTTTGAATATAATATATATATATATATACACGGAGAAATAACGCGACCGTGGTTTCACGTAATATGAAAACATATGACGTATAATATAATATTACCTTTTACTGTATAATATATTGTATGTACATGTACGGAAACCGTATTATACCTACAAGTGGCCAAATTGTGAAAAAATACATGAAGCGATTGTCTTAGTTTTCTCAGACGTCATTTTTCGAAACCGTTTTAAACGCGTTGTTGTGGCCCGATCGTCGTCTATATTCTATTATTATTGTTAAACATTAGTAGGCGCATTTTTGTGTAACGCACTCGTGTAGCGCGGTGTATGTACACATCCGTTTAATTACGTCGATGACGGCGGTGGCGCATGATTGATGCCGGTTTAAATACACATTATATTGCATATTATTATATAAATATACACGTAGGTACACAATAATAATAATAATAATCAGCGGTGTTAAACAAGAGAACTGGTGTACAGAAAGATAGCTTATTGTCTGTACCGACTGAAGATATGTATAATAATGATTTTTGTTTACCGAAAACGGGCTACTTGAAAGAATTACCTCTCCCTATCACTTTATCGATGTATACACATATTTACACGTAAACACACACACACACACACACACACACTCACGTATGTATGTGTACACGCACGCACATCAAGTCGTCTAACTGTGTGCTGCAGATTACCGTCATTTCGAAAATATTTAAACGCTACCGCCGCGGTTTGGTTACCCTGTATACACACGCACACACACATGTATACTATTATGGTTATTAATGTATTACTATTATTATTATTTTGTGTATAATTATAAGTCGTTTTAGTGCACTTTCCCGTTTTGGTGGCGACGCGTTTAAATAATTATCCGTTCGGCCGACACGTACCTCTCTATACCTGTGTATATTAAATCGGTATGACAAACGACGTCTCGTTAACGTATTGTCCGCCACGATTTTTCGTCGGTTTGTTCGAACTCCGTCTTCGTCGTCCTCGTCGTCGTCATTATTATTATTATTGCCATCGCATGTTTCTCGCTACGAGTCCCTCCGCCCAATCGCTTTGTCCTGCCTCAGCAGCCCAGAAAGTTTTTACCTCGTAACGAACGCAATGCCGCTAACGGTATTTGTCGCGTCCGCGTTTACAATATCCACACAGGTCCGCGACGAGATAATTTAATACGTACACAAACGTGTATGGTTTCACGTATGTACAGGGTGCTGCTAACGGATGAACTACATACGGGTTCATTCGGCGGAGTCGGACGTTTCGTCGCCTGCGCGGAGACAATACATTATCATGAAATCGTACTCCTCGTCAAAATATATCACATGCCCCGCATTGTGTCATAACTCAAGTACGTGTTGGGTTTTTCGTGCGTTCGGTTTCGAATAACCGACGCGACGTGAACGGCTCGGCAGTTCGATATAACGCAGCAGAGGAACATCAGGGACCGCATTGTTTTTGACTGAGTTGAAACGGTCGAAAAAAAAAGAAAAAAAGATAACGTTTGAGGCGACGAGCGGTGATCTATGTCGACGGTAAAACCGCTACAAAGATTTCCTTAATATATCCGGGTTCGAACGGTAACGCATTAAACATGCAATACCATAAGATTTGGTTTCTATTACCATACCTACTGTTAAAACGTCTGAATTGATTTTGTTTTCTTGACTCGAGTGCGATTCGATCATCGATCAGCTTTGGAACGCGCTAGAGACACGCTTATCCATGTCCTTCGCGTTGCTCCTCGGAATACACGGCCGACGCATACCGAAAGAACTCTCCTGTAGGTTAGTTTAGGTTAGGTTCACGATCCTGCTCCGAGCGTACATATCACTATTAGACGATTTTTGATCCATCTCATGTTCGCTCGTCTCATCGGGCTTGCGCCTGACCTACCCACATGCTCGTCGGAGCAGACACCATTCTTATCCTCGGCAGGTACAGGGTCACAAAGCTTGGCAACATTCCTCGCCGTGCAGTCCGAGCACGCGCTGACCAAACCGAATAACTTAACGGATTGTCGTCGTGTTCTTATTTTTCAACGACTTGCGATCGCGCCCGGGTTTATTCGTTTTTTTTTTATTCGTTTGAACGGGCGTACCCGGTGTTACGGTCGTAGACGCGCGTTCAGGATTTACAATAATATAATTTTTCATCGCAATTCGGTCCTGTTAACCTTGAGTACAATACAAACGGTACGCGTAATGCGAGATCTGTTGACGGATAGGTGGTTTTCTAGGAAGGTAGTACGTGTGATGTTGAGAACGTTTACGATAACCGGAATGGTCCACGAAAGATAATTATTATAAACATAAAACAACGAAAACTTGAACATAAGACATAGAATGTAATACTTTGTCCAGCCAAAAAGACTATTCGGGTAATAATTATAATCGTCTGTCCGAGGTGCAAGAAAACATTTCGACATTGCAAATAGTTTACATGTTGCATTCATATATTTACAGGGGCATTTTGAACACATTTCGAACGTTAGAGTGTCAATGTATTCAAATGTCTGGTTCTACGATTTGGAACGTACAAGTTCAATAAAGAAAGCCAATCTCGGCAGTCAATATCCCCGTTTGTTGATCTAAAAATGAAACATGAATTTAATCGTTTTACGTAATTCATTTTAAACATTTTAGCACTGAAGGAAAATAAGAAATAATTACAATGGTTACGATTCCAAAATTATTTTCTAAATAATTCAGTTTATGTCGTGTTTGATCACCTCTAATCGTATTAAATATAGTGCGTTGCGTAGATTGTATAATTATAAAGTGTATCTACTTATTATGTTTTCAATATACTTAGATATAACAATCACTTTGCCGGAAAGAGGCAAAGAATTGGCCCTAATGAATTTTTACAAATATAAATTAGTCGGAGAACGAAATAAGGATTATTTTTTGAGATGGAGGTGTACAAATAGTAAATGATCGGCTTAAGATGGATATATGTATCCACGTTGGTTCGGCAATAATTTTCTCAATCTTAGATAAACGTAATGTGATTGAAACTTTTGGACAACACAGTCGCATTCAAAACTGATATTGGGAACATCGCAGAGTTATTTTTATGCTCAATCGTGTAGGTTTCTATTGTATTTCTATATTCTTTGATATGCCGATAAATTTGTTCAATCGTCTCATAAAAAGGTAAATTTTATGCTCAATCGTGTTACAGTCCTTTAAACACAAACTCGCGCATATAGTTGTTTCTTTAGCGTTTAGAGCGACAACAATTTACGTTTTTCGAAATCAAAAATATTTTTTTTGTACTTCGTTATCAGCTTGATGTATTTACTGTTAACAGTGACGCATTCGTCATGTCGAAACGAAAGAAAAAAAATGTTTATTAAACGCGGACAACAAATTGTTGTAATACACAAATTATTTTGGCGAAAACCAAAAATCTCGTAAGGAGTTTTTTTTTTTTAAATCTTCCATTGATTATCATTATATGCACGACGCGATTATGCATAATATAACGTTATCGCTAAAGTGCGATCGACACGTTCCTCTACACTCGTTTCGTACGGTCGCTTCTGACAATATTATAACTCGTTGCTCGCCACACCGTTTCTAATCCGTATTGAGATCGATTTGATTTATTATATTAATATTAATAGTTTTTTTTTAATGTTTTACGCAGATCACCTGGACCGATGGTACCGGCGCCCCGATCGTGGACGTTGTCAAGACGTACATCGAGGTTATGGCGGCCGACAGCAAACGGTTTACCACCAGGTCCGTGTTGAAATTCGTACCGAAAATGGAACACCACAACACGTCAATTTGGTGTCAGGCGCACAACTCGGCCATCGACAAAAAGTTACAAACGAAAATCCATTTGCATGTCAAATTCGCTCCGAAGGTGAGTGCGCTCGTAGACAGCGCGTACACAGTACATAATATATTCATATACACCTAACCACCATACTCGTCTGTGCATATATTTATGGAACGCACTCGCACACACACACACAAAGTATATACATAAATAATACAAAATATACTTGTCCATACGTTAAACACATACGACATTTATGTACAGCGCTTTATTGTGCGTACATGAAAAAGGTTGGATGTGAGTGTGAGTGTGTTTGCGCGTGTATTAACCAAATGATTTCGACGAAATTTCGAGAGCAAGCGTATTATTTTGCAAAATGAGTGCGAATAATATTGTAATTTGCGGAGGAGCACTCGAGTGCGGGTCTCGGGTTTCAGACAATTTTATTATTCACATAGGAACCGTGGCTTTGTTGTCTTCTGGTAAAAATATCTTTTACGCGTTTCTCGGTTACGCGCTCCTCTTCCAATTGTTTATTATAAAAAAAAATATGTACACATATGTAAGTAAATATTTCACGGTATTAGTATAATGCATACGATTTATAACCTATGTGTGTATGGATGCGATATATATATATATATATATATACAGACACTGATTTTGGAGGAGGTGGTTGGAGTGGCAGTTCTCCTCGTTCACCGTATTAAAGTTTATGATTTGATTTGTTGTGTATCAGATATTAATATTTTGTGTAAATATAATTTGCATTAGAAAAAAAAAATTAAATTGAAAATAGAACTGATCTAACAAAATATTTAAAACCGCAGAAAGTCAGAAATCTAACTTGAGAATCTCAAGCTGAATTAAGCGTCAATTTTGTCTAATGTTATAAAAAACATGAAATATCCTCAAATAAATAAATTTTAATCAAAACAATTGAATATAGAAATTCAATGCAATTTACCAAAAAAAGTATTCGTTATGAATTATAAGGAAATGCATTATTTACTACTGCATATATATATAAATATAAACGAGAAAATTTGTATTTACGAGTTGGTATTTAAATATGTATACTTATTCATAACTCGTCCCTCTTGTTAACCATAGTTGGATCCGCGCCTGTATAAATGTGTGTGTGTGTGTGTGTGTGTACTACACCCGATAAGATTTGCGAAATCCTCGAAACGGTACGTTCGCAGGAGAGGTAGGGAACTTAATTACCTTTTTATGTGCTTCCGATTTCATACGAGTCTTAACAGTAGCACCCACGCAGGTTCTTGAATAGTGCAACTGCACTAGTACTCACGGAAGACACGGAGGGTAGTGTAAGTACTAAGTGTTGAAAATAATAACCTCATTACATTATGGTGTCATAGTTAAAGCTGCACGGAACTCCGGTGGGTGTCACTACGTTTCTATACTTATAATGACAGTCAGGTACACATATTTTTTTCAACTGTCGATTGAGCTACAGTTGTACTGATTTCGATACGTCTAAGTACTTCGATAAGCTACGAAAGTAATTCAATTACGTTCGTTATAAGTAATAATGGTTGCGAGTAAAAAAACCGTTATTCGGTTAAAAAAAAAAAAATAATACTGTCGCATTTTTTTCTTCGTTATATTTACGTTTTGGTAGAGCTAATACAAATTATTATCACCTACTTATCATACAGAAAAACGTATCTGAGGAGTGTAGGAAGAAAAAAATACACACATTCATACATACATGTACATTATACACAGATACAAAATGATTCTTCTTTTTTCTTTTGTGCTGAACAATTTCAAACTTTTCTCGATTGGTAAAATTCATAACAGAAATAAACTCGTTAACCAACAAGTAACAGATGATAAACCAAAAATAAATTTATTTGAAAATTAATAAGTTTAATATTATTTATAACGCTCGAATACCAATACACATGTATACATTAGTATTGACTAGTTACTGAATCACTGCTCGGCTTCGATTGTTGATAATATTCTACGTTTGAAAAATGTTATAATAATTTAATGCACGGCAATGTATAACACTCGCCTGCAAGTGAATGGTTCAGCGGTAACTGTAATATTTCCTCACACGATGAATATACATTAGGTGTCGATTTTTCTACGCGAATACGTACGTAAGAGTGATTTGATCGCACGGTAAAATTCCGGTTGCAGCGATCGAGATAAAAATAAAAATAAATAAATAAAAATACATAAATTATTGTCCACATTAGGGAAACGATTAAGATTAGACATATTATTGTACAACATGTATACACCGTGTATTTCAACGGGCTCGATAAGATCCTTTTCTTTATTTCGTTACCCCATCTTTGGTTGGATTTAATTAAAAATATATTTTTTTTCTGACCGCCGCGTTATTAGGCGAAACGTACGAGAAACGTAACTAATATATTATATTTCGGTGATTCGGTTCTTATCAGATTTAATTATTTTACGATTTATAAGCGTTTATATTTATACATTTTTCTTAAAAAAATTACAAATGCAAATGATATTTACACAAGATACTGCCGAGAGGTCTGAAACTAATTAAAACACTTATTACTGCGTACAGCCGTTTTTTGAATTATACGAATAAATTTAACTTTTCCGGGAATACATATAACTCGTATAAAGTCTCTATATACGTATATGTATGATTTTATGTGAAATATATTTATATTATTATCACAACGGTACGTTTTAATTTAAAATTATTATATTATTCACTTATACTATTACGCGAATAAATAATAATTTTTTGAAATATTTGGAAATTAAGTAATAAACTTTTATTTTTAATTTGTTATACCAAACTCTAAAATGAAAATAAATAAACGCGTAGGTACTGCGCAATATTGTACACCTAAGATATAATACGCATAGCTTTTTTTTAATACAATTTATTATTCTACTTCCAGTATATAACAATCTAGTCACCACTTTTTAAGAAACATAACTTGTTTATTATGATATTTTATAATATAAAAAATATATCATGGTCATAAATTTCAGTTTGCTCTAGTTAATGCAGGTTTTTTTTCGTCGTGAGCCGAAATATATATTTTAGATCAGTGAGTTAATTGAGTAGTCTATTGTCGATTGTTCATTGTACACGAAAACCACATACATCGTTTTTTTCGACCACATCATCTGAAATATTTTTTTTAAAAACGCATCGATTTCACTTGTAAAATAATATTCATAATAACGTTCATGTGTTCAAATTAATATCGTGCGCCAAATGTTGTAGTATCTTATGTATTATTAATATTATTTTTAATTTATCTAATATTTCTATGCGTATTGTTTTGTTTGTTTGGCTATCATATAAGAAATCGCTTTATTTTGTTGTTTAATCTTTTAAATTATAATATCTACACGCATATACGAATTTGTAATTAGTTGCATTGCAATACTAATGTGCGAGTAGTATATATTTTAGATAATCATAATTCAATAGCTAGTAATTTATCCCGATATCACAACATTTTGCCATTGAATTGAATTTATTTCATAATTAAATATTTAGATTGGTCTGATAAGGGAAAAAAATCAATTAGATATTCCGTTCGATAAAAAAAATAAAAAAAAATTAGTACATATAGCTTCAGTATAATTATATTATGTACCTGCAATATTATCCATTAATAGATATTAAATATTGTGTATATTATTAAATATTCATCAAAATTAAATACAATATACATAGTCTAAATTATTTACTTATCTTATCAAAATCATCTCTTCGAACAATTATTGTAACTACAGCATGGGTATAAGATGAATTACTACAGCAGTGGCGTTTATTTATTAATCAACTATAAATTAATTTAAAACTTTTATTATTAATAAATAATAACGCCTGTTAGTAGTTAAAACTAATTACTAAATGTGTAGATAATTTCAACGGTTTATCTTAATTTATTTTTAGTTTATTTCTAAATCAATAGTCTTGGGGATTTATGATTTTTTTTTCTAACATTAAGAATAGCGTTAAAATATATGTACCTAAAAAGGTTTACAATTGCATATCGTACTATTAGGCCTATCCTTACTCGTCTTTATCGGTTCTTTCGCGATACACAAAATCTTAACTTATCGAAACAGCAGTTTTCGATTCGTCCACATTACGATTAAATCATGTGTGCGTAATTATCTCTAGCGTCTCGATATCCAAACGTGCGTTTCAATACATTACACAGTTATGAACAAAGCCGGCGTGAGGGTAAGGCGACTCAGGTGGTCGCCTAGAGGGTCGCCTAGAGCGCCATTTTCAGAGGGGTGCCGAAATTGATTTTTACAATTTTGCACTTATGTAAGTAATATTATTATTATTATTTTTTTTTAATATTAATATATATATATATAATATGAGTTTATTTAAAGTATATTTACTATAGTTTAGCATAGAATGTTTCATCATATGTTACTCTATAAATATAAAAATTGCCGAATATTTATTATCGTTTAATCGGGATCGCGTCAAGTCATTATGACTCATGATTAAAAAATTAGACGATAACATGTACAAGTTGGTATGGATGTACAAGTTAAACATATTATATAATTTTTCTGTCCAGGAACAACATTTTTTTCTAAGTAATACCATATTACGGGTAGTTGTATGAAAAAAAGGTCAGTTGGCATTTTGACCTGGGGCATCATTTAGCCTTACGCCGGCCCTGGTTATAAAGTTCAATCATACTGATCATGTTAGAATATATTCATGGGTTAGGATCGGATTGCGATGTACACGATGTTGGTAATACACGCATGAACTTATACTCCCGTATATTTTGTTACCTGAATATAATAATTACTTTTCAAACTTAATTGTTCCCCGGTATCTTATAAAGCGTATTAATCTGAATTCGAACCCAACAACAGTTTCCCGACTTCAAATAATTTTATTCGCACGACAAGTGAATTATTAAATTACGTATTTGCATAGTAATATATACATGGTCTGTTAATTAAAAATTTTCAATTCGAGATTTCATTGCAGTAACATTCATTATTAACATAATAACAATAATATTGTGCAAGACGTGACAATGATTTTAACACTCGAAGAGTTT